GTTTTTTTACTTCACCACTGAGTCAAAGGCATATATGTATATGTACTCCCACTCACTCAAGGACTTGATGAACTGTTGTCACTCAAATTGTTGATGACAGCGTAAATTTATGGGCGTTTTTTTACGTTCAAGCTTTTTATTTGCATTCAAAATTAATTTCACCGTCGCCAGTCGAGGAAATAAATATTTTTATGTAAGGTTTGTACAAAGAGCTGTTTTATGCCGCAATGAAGTGGAACTCTTTCTTCAAAAAAATTTTTAAAAATCTACAAAAATCTACAAAAAATCTTAAATAATATCTAAAAATATTTACTATTCTTTATATTATTCATGCTTTTTTATTTTATTTTACTGGATTTTGATTATTTTTTTTTATTAAGTTCAACTCAATTTTAATTTTTTGTATTTAATTTATTTATTTACGTATTAATAATATATTTACTTTAGGTTACTTTACTTTATTCTAATTTGTTGGATTTGTTTTCATTTTATTCTATTTTATGTTATTTCATTTTTTTATATGATATAATTTTGTTATTTTAATTTAGTTTAATTTAATTTTTTCCATCATATAAAAACTTATAATGTTACATTCTGGTTCACTTTTATTTAATGTTATCTGTTTTGGCTTCATTCTATTTTTATTTTCTTATTTAATTTTTTTATTTAATTTTTTTTTATTTAATTTTTCTTATTGTTTTTATCTACAATATTTTGACTTCATTCTATTTTAATTTTCTTATTTAATATATTTATTTAATTTTTCTTTATTATTATTTTTATTTATTTTGTTTTTGTATATGGATTTCATTCTTTTTTATTTATATTAAATTTTCTTATTCTTTATGAAATTTTATGTTTATATATTTATTTTGATTTCATTTATTTTAATATCAATCTATTTTAATGTATTTTATTTTAATTCCTTTTTTAGATTTTTTTTATTTTAATTATATTATTTTATTTCATTTATTTTTTCTTGATTTTAATTTTATTTATTAGATATTTTTCCTTTTGAAAATTATTTTATTGTATTTCAATTTATTTTATTTTACTTGATTTTATTTTATTTCCATCTTCGCATGTATTTCAAAACACCGAACAATTTACAGACTTTAATATAAGCGAATTTAACCTATAAAGTGAGATTCAAAGCACCTAAGCATACTTTAACGGTGTTCACGTTAAATTGCAAAGCGCCTAAGAACAGACTATAAATCACACAGTTTACACGTGAGGTAGCTAAAGTGAACGACAAAGTGTAGTTGTATATATGTGAATAGTCTCGCAGTCGTTTATGACAGTGTGATGACTTCGTCTGTTGTGATTGTTATTGTTGTTTGTTCTCTTTTTTATTTATATTCTTGCATTTAAGGAAATTGAAAAAAAGCGTTCTACAGCTTAACTCAGTTTGAAAAAGTTATTAAGGGATTTCAAAATAGATATGATTTTTTGAATAGAGCCGGTAATCAATACAGGTTGTTGCCAGCTGAATTCCTAGGCAACATAGTATATGTGTACATGCATGTGTGTGTATGTATGACTACAAAAAAGGTTACGGTATTATAGGTTTTGCATTTTGTTTATTTTCACGACGTGAAGAAAAGCTATGTTGCGTTATGTTATGTTAAGTTATTTTCTGTTATGACTGTTATGTTAAAATAAGTTATGTTATGCTAAGTTAAGTAATGCTATTTTATGTATGGATTGTCATATGTTGTTTTGTTGTAATATTTTACGCTATGACACGTTATGAGTATTTTGTACTGTTATTTTATGTTATGAATCATACACTGTTTCACGTTACGTAGCTTGTGTTGTGTAAAGTTTTGTTGTGTTATGTTAAGTTAAGTTACAGTAGGTTAAGTTTGTTATGTTACATTATGTTTAAGGTATGCTACGTTTTCACGCTGTAGTATTTTAAGCTATTATATGTTATGAATATAATATTACGTTATTTTATGTTAAGAATCTTACAATGCCTTATGGGAAGTTATTTCTGTTATGAAGTATGAAGTTATGTTGTCGTATGTAATGTTATTTTATGTCAAGGTATGCTAAGTTACGTTATGTTAAGTTACGTTATGCTAAGTTAAGTTACGGTACGTTAAGTTACGTTATGTTACGTTATGTTACGTTATGTTAAGTTACGTTATGTTAAGTTACGTTATGTTAAGTTACGTTATGCCAAGTTAAGTTATGTTATGTTAAGTTATCTTATGCTATATTAAGATATTTTACGTTGTATTAGAATATCATTTTGATATGTTATGTTACGTTAATTTAAGTTGTGCTGTGTTATGTTATGCCTTAAAGTTGTTAACTTAAAGAAATCTCTCAATTAACTCTCTCCTGCTATTTGTGTACATATTTACATACATTTAGCTTCAGTCTTTAAAGCGTTTAACTTAGCAGCGCAGCAGTAAACTCTTAGCACCAGCAGCTGAGATTTATGACCGCCGGTGGAAGACAACAGAGACTACTTGGTAATTTTCTATTTACACAGATTCCATTTATAATATCATCATTTGCGCTGTGTTTATTTAAATGCAATTTGGAAATGTTTACTGATACAGATATATGATATGTCGGAAACAAAAAACAACAACTCGAAAGGCAAATAGATATTTGCTTCTCTTTAATATATTTGCGTTCAGCAATTACTCATAAGCTAAGGTAAATACTCGTAAACATACTTTATTGCTGAAGGGTAAAGCTAAAAATTGCTAGCGAGAAGATATATTTATTTATAAAGAGAAAGACAATTTTATTATTATGGAAGTTAAATGGGGGGAAAGTACATGCATACATACAAACGTATTTTCAAACGAGGGCGTGTTGTTCGAAAATGAAAACCATAAATTTGTTTATTTAAATAAATATGTATTGACGTATGCATGTGAATGGCGGCGATGTCAAGTACGCCAGGTAGCAGCTGAGTTGGATTTGAAATTGAAATGAATATCAGAAAATAGAGATTTGCAGCTAAGGCCCTTAGGGGGATACGCAATAAAAATGGGTGGAATAAGAAAGTCGATGAATTAAAATAGAAAACCGATTGCTGTGCATTTTCAAAATCAATGCAAACGAAAAATAATGAATTATTAATAAAGTTGTGCGAGCAGCTAAGCGGCAAATCCTTTTTTAACAATTGCTGATTTCAAAGTGAAATACAAAATCACTGAAGCGTAGATTTAAGGAAATATTATGAAAATATAAACATACATACATACATACGAAAATCACAACTACCAATCAAAACATTCGAAGCACAAATCAAAGGCAAACTGAGTCCCAAGCGAGTTGTCAGCCGAATGGACACTAGCAAAGCGAGTGTGTCCTTGCAGTATGGCAAGGCATAGAACGATTGAAGTCTATTTAAATTCCATGCAAATTAAGTGAATAGAATGAAGGAAAAGCAAAGTCCTTTTTCGGCGTGCCATTATTGAAGACTTTATTTATGCCCTTCATGAGTGGAGGCTCATTTGCTATTTTCTTCATTTTGAAGTTGTCTAATAATTTTTTAGTGTATTATTTGTAATCGCAATCCAAATTAATATATTTCTTACAATTTACATTTTATATATTATCATTTATAGCATTCCAACATACAATATATTTTTGTTTTATTTCAGTGCTGTGGTCGCACAATTTCAGAGGTAATAGCTGATAATGGCGTTTTTGAACAATAATTTATATGGCAGCCATATCTCATGGCATTTCAATAATCACAAATCTCACAGCATACATTTGTTTTATGATCTTTTTACTTACTACCATAGTTTAAGGCACCAGCTGTTTCGGTTCTTATCGATTATTGGCAAAAAACGAGTTTTTGAACAATTGTTTATATGGCGGTTATGCGTTATAATAATTTGGTTTAGACAATTTTCACAATGTACTTTCCTCTAGTGATAATTTCACAACATACCAAATTTCAGTGGTCTAGCTGCTCCATTTCGGAAGTAGTGCTTAAAAATTGCGTTTTTGAAACACAAGTTATATGACAGCTGTATGTTAAAATAATTCAATAGTGAAAATTTTCATAAAGTACGCTCATTTAATAATAATTTCACAAACATAGCAAATCTCAGCGCTCTAAGTGCTAAGTTTTGCTGGTTAGGTTCAAGAAAAGCGTTTTTGAAATATTATTTATATGACAGCTATATGCTATATGAACTCGCTTAACGATCTTGTTCACCAGTAGTTTTATATCTTTGATAATTAAATGTTATACCGAATTTCACGTTTCCAACAACTTATTTTAAGTTTATGGGAACAAAAATTACGTTTTTGAACTAACACTTTAAAGGTAGCAGTATGATATGGTAGTTATACAATAGCAAAAACATGCACTATGAGCTAAATGAGCATGATAGTTGAAGAAAATACCAAAGATAATGTTCTAAACTGCTTTTTTGTAAAGCTAAAAAGTAGTTGAAAATTTTTTTTTTGGAATAATATTTTGTTTTGCTTTGATCGGCTTGAAACCTAAACGTATGCTGTTACTGCTAAGCAAAGACAGTTACTATTAACCAATGTACGAAATAGCTTCGTAGATGGCATAAAAAGGAAGAAAGGACTCAGCAAATGAAATGCGCAAGCAGAAAATTGAATTTTTGTATTTTTATGCAGCACCGTAAATAGCTTTTGCTTGCGTCAGAAGAAAGTGAACTGCTTAAGTAGAGTAAAGCGCATTTGTCTTGAAATTTACCTTGAAATTTGCATGACATAAAAAGGACACTGCGACAACTCACAGCGAACAACACTCACTGGACGACATAACGTTCAACGAGCCACTTTGGTGCATCAACAGATTTAAAAGCTCAACGTATTTGCATTTACTGCCATTTAAAATCAATACTAAGTTAACAAAGACACACGCCCACACACACGCAGATGCATAGTAGAGATTGAAAATTTCACCGTAGAATTAAACTTAAAGACTCGAAGTCTAGACACTTTATACACTTTATACACAAATTTCACCACTAACTCACCTGACTGAGTTCATCTCCCGAATAACGCTTGCATTTCGGCAGCAGAGCTTGCATATCATCCTCGAACTGTCCATCCTCACAGCAGCTGCTATCGGCGGCATCCAATGAGTGAAATTGTTCTGATATGTTATCATGTTGAACGCCAGCATCGCCAAGCACACCGAGACAACCACCACCACTGCCAGCAGTGAGACGATTATTCGTGCTGCCAACGCCACCGCCACCGCCGCCGCAGCTGCCACCTTGCAAATCGAAACATAAATTGGTGGCGCCACCACTACTGCCCATGCCGCAACCATCGCCTAGTCCATTGCTGTCACTTCCTTTAATGGAATCTAAACCACAGAATGGCAGACGTCGATTACTGGCTACAATATTGTTGCTATTGTTGTTATTATTATTGCTTGTTGCTCCTGTTGCTAGAGCTGTTGCTGAAGTGGGCTTTAATTGATTCTGTGTCGTTGCCGGCGGTACAGCTGATGTGGTCAATTGTGTGCTGGATGAATCGGAAGTCCTGCAAGGAAAAGAATGAAAGAGATGGAGAATTAAAATTCTGGTGATTAGAAAGGTGATGTTGCTAGCGATTTAAATTTCAACAAATCCTCGCTGGATATATACGGACATATATTTAAAGGAAGCACTAATGGCAGGTGGCCATATATACGTATGAATATTAAAATACATATAAATATTTGTGTTAATAAATGTATGTATGAAATGTATTTTATACATGTTTAACAAAACTAACTAAATTATTATCAAAATTATTCTGTATTTATTATGTTATTTCTTTTTGATTTTATTTACTTTTTATGTTATTCCAATACGTTTTATTTTATATATTTATATAAATTAAATTATTATTTTATTTGAATTTTTTGTTTTACTTTATCTTATTTAAATTAATTTTCATTAGTTCATTTAATTTATTTTTTCATTTAATTTAACTTAATTTTTTTTATTATTTTAATTTATATTATTTTATTTTATTTTTTATTTTTAACTTAATTTATTTAATTTTTTCAGCATAATATAATTTAATTTATTATTTTTACTTTTCTTTTGTTTTTGCAAATTTTTTCAATTTATTTATCAATTTTGACCTCCTTTATTTTTAAATTTTTTTATAATATAATTTATTTTTCTTATTTACCTATTTTAATTTAATTTAATTTTGTTTTATTTTTTGTATTTTATTTATTTTTTTTTTTTCATTTCATTCAGTTAAATTTTTGGTTAGATTAATTAACTTTATTTAATTTATTAAGCATAATTTAAAATAAAATAAAATTAGTTTCGATTTAATTTATTTCAATGTGATTTATTTATATAAATTAAATTTAATATTAATTGTTGTACCACCTTTTATATACATAAAATATTTTATGCTTTAAATTGAAATTTTCTGAATTTATCTTTAGCAATTATTTGAATTTAATACCATATTTTATTTAAATTCTTTTTTTTGAATTATTTGAACGTAATTAACTTTAATAAAGTAAAGTTTATTTAATTCTCCTTGATTTTATTACTTTTATTTGAACTAAGAAATTAACAATCAAATTAAAAAGTATTTCATTTCAGTAATTTGAATTATTTAATTTTAAGTTTTATTTATTTAAAAATAGGTAAATAAGAAAATTCGATAAATCTTAACTAATTTTTATAACTTAGACAAGAACAAATGTTTATTTGATTTATTTTGATATATTTAGATTTAGTTTAATCAATTATTTTAATTTAATAGAATCATTATTTTTTATTTTTGTTTTTGTGATATTTAAGAAGTTGAATTTATCCTTTTAATTTAATTTAGTTGAGTTTAACTAAACTCAGTTATTAAAGATTAAAGAAGACATGTCGATCTTAACTTCCTACCCTTCAAAAGTCAAGATAATCAAAAAATTGTATTTGTTGTACCACACACTGGATAATTGAATATTCGCGGCAATTCCTCTTTTTTGAACATTTACCGTTAATTCAACAAGTTTAGTCATTAACTCATCCAAAGTTTGGATTCCCCTGTATTACTCTTTGAATTTTTTCAATTTTATTTTGTTTTTGTTCGTTAGTATTTTTGTTCGCTTGACATTTGCATGTTTTCAATTCATTAAACGTATTACGCTTAATTTTATTTTAGTTGCGATTTGCCTAGCTTAATTGAGTCACTTAATCCAGCTGAATTACAGGGAATAGTTTGTATAATAAATTTTATTGCGTGCTTAGAGGTCGTTGATGTTGTGGGCATGTAGAAAGATACGGTTTATAAAAATAGCAAAGTAAAATAATAAACATTGTAATATTAAAAATAAAAAAGTTTTGAGCAAACATAAAGGAGTAACAGATAAGCTAAGCGAGTTTCAGTACTTATTTATTTATCTTAATTTTTATATTTAACTCAATATATATCAATGTATTTTTAATATTTAAATCAATATTACTTTTCGAGGAACTTGTGCCTCTAACTAACAATTTTGAAAAAAAAAAAAATAATAAAGGTCATATTGAATCTCTTTTGCTCTTGGTTTTAGTTTTATAGAGCTGTCTCAGACCATAAATTTTTTTGGAATAGGGGAAAAATTACAACAAGAGCTTGCACGGTAGAAGTTGTAGTTGGTATTTCGGGACCCTCTTGTTCAATGGTTATCCCGGTTATCCGATGAAACTACATGTGAGCCGCTTTCACTTGTTGCTGTTTTTCACTTTTTCCCCTTTTACCTACGCTACCACGATTAAGTTCTCAGATCTTCTGTAGCGGTGAAGTTCCTTTTTCATTTTTAGAAAATTTCATTCAACCGACAGGCTCATTTTTAATGCCGCACTGGAGTGTGTACATATATACTTGTATAATACATAGGTATTTTGAGGCGCAGAATTTGCCTCAATATTGAGGCTGGCAGCTTTAAGAGTTTTCTATGAATTGGACTATTTAGAAAATTTATATTTTTGTGACTTTACGGTACCACTTCAATTTATATATGTGTACATATTTTTATTTAATTAAAAGACTCGACCATATGACATAAATTCCTCAAGCATTTCTCTGCTCACAAAAGTTTTTACACTTGACTGACTAACTATGTGCTAGGATCAACCTTTGATAATATTTTCTAAGTAAATATATATATATATATATATATATATATATATATATTGTGTTGGCGGCACACAGGCCACAAGCATAAAAATAAATAAATACTAACAGAAGAAGGGATTATTATTTTCCAACACAATAATCAACAACAATTCCCATATGTTTAATACATAGAATATTTTTAATAGTATAGGTATGCACATATGCATTGTTGTAAATATGTGAAGTATAAGAATTGAATTTTGCAATTTGTTGGCATGAAGATTTTACACATGAATCGCTTTAATGGAAGAAAGTTTTTTTTTTTTGGACAATAGATGCTTACTTTTTATTACTTTCTGTTAGAGCATTCATATTTATGGAGTATGTATATATATTTATATGCATGATGTATATGTGCTTCTTGCTATTATAGATTTTGGTAATATTTTCTAAAAGCTTATGTGTGGAATTTCAAATGAGCTTAATATTAAATTTTTTTATATTTTTTCTTTATATTATTTTTAAATACTACAAAGCCATTTATGTTTTGTAGTATTCAATATTTTTATCAACTATAATGAATGTAAAAATAATGGAAACTCATTAGGGAGATTTTGAATTCAAAGAATTTTGTAGTGTAAAAAAAAGTATTCACTTTTGATATATTTTCGTTAGAAATTTGTTTACAGCGAAACTCGGGAAAAATTTACTGGAAATATGTTGCATGTATTATTTACATTAATTAATAAATAATTTTATAGCATTTTATTTTTTATTCGTTTTTTTTTTTATTATTTTAATTAAATTTATTTTATGTTATTTTACTTCACTGTAACTCTAGTTATGTATTTTTTATTTCATTTAATTTTTATGATTTTGCTAATTTAATAATGTTATTTTAACTTTGTTTTATTCTATGATATAATTTTTGTCTATATGTCGTTAAATTCAGTTCATTTTCATTTCATTTAATTTTATACATTTTTTCATTACTTTTTATAATTAATTGAATTTAGTTTTTATTTTTTGTAATTTTTCATGTTTTACTTTATCTTATTTCATGTTATTTTCATTTACTTTAGTTTCTTATTCTTATTATGTTTGTAATAATTTTATTCACTTATTTTATGTACTTGATTTAATTGATTTTTTTTAATTTACTTATCTTATATAAATTTGTCTTTTCATTTTATTTTATTAAATTGGGCTTTCATTTCATAGTTTTCTTTTTTAGTTTGCTTTATTATATATTTGTTTTAACTTTTCTACTTTAATGATATTTTGATCGTTTTTTGTTTTGCCTGAGTTCTTTTTTTAACATGTTTGTCAGTTTTCTTACACAATTTTTAATTTATTTAATTAAATTATTATTTTTTTGCTTAACTCTATATATTTTATTTTATTTTGGCCTTATTTCTTTGTTAGTATATATTCGTTTATTTTATTCATGTTTATATATATATATATATATATATATATATATATATATATATATGATACCATTTAAATTTATTTCTGTTAATTTAATTTATTTAACTTATTTTTTTATTTAATTTCTTTCACTTAATTCAAAATATATATATTTTTTTCATTTATTTTATTTTATTTTGATTTTATTTCGGAACTTATTTTAACTGTATTTTATTCTATTAAATGTTATTTCATTTCATTTTATTTCTGTTTCACTAATTTACTATTGTTTTTAATTTAATTTCTTTAATTTAGAATAATATAATTTTTTTTCATTACTTTTTTTAATTTAATTTTTACTTCACTTAACTTCTTTTTCTTATAATTTGTTTTAAATGAGAGGTTGCCGGCACCTTCAACGATGACTATATACATATGTATGCTCCGCATATTATGTAAAACTGAGGCCCACTTCTTGGAAGAAAAGGTTTTCCCCCTATTAACTTCGGCCCAAATCTACCACTGGAGGTTTGATGTAAATCAAACAAAAAATAAAAATGTTTCGTATAGATCGGTCCCACGCCCATTTCGTGGAAGAATAACTATACCCCATATCAATTAAGGCAAAGAGTTACAAATGTACCAAGTTTCATGTAAATCGAACAGTTTCAAAATAAAATCGATTTTTCCGAATAGATTGGTCTCTACTTCCCGGTAAATCACTTCTTCAGTTGTATATGTCATATGTCGAACTCCAAGTTTCAGGTCTCTACGATCAGTGGTTTAGGCTGTGGGTTGATTCGCCAGTCAATCATGGCAAAACATTTAATTTTTTAAATTTCTTTTAACTAAACCTTAATTTGTTTATTTAATTTTATTTTAGTAGGTATTTACTTATTTCTTTTCACATTATTTATGTTAATTTAATGCCATAATTTTTTTATACAATTTTTTTTGAATTAAATTGCATTTTATTTCTTTTTTTATATTAAAAATAAATTTTTCTTAATTTATTTTCCTATAGCTGT